GCAACGCACCCACTCAGCAGGCCCCACTGAGCCCGCGAAACAGGCCCCTCTTCCCGGACCCTCTCCTCCCCCACTCCTTCCTCTGCCCTCCACGGCCCCTGAGGCAGCATCTCCCTGGAGAAGTGTGTGTGTTGGGGGGGAGGGGGTGCACAACAGTGGCTCAGGGACTAGCACCCCACAAGGGTGGCCCTGACTCTCCCAAGGCCCCCTGCTAGGCCCCCTCCAGCATGACGCCCTCCCACCCCTGGACTCCCCAACACAGCAAGCCCTACAGCCGAGGCTTTGAAACCCTGGGAGGGCAGACTGGGTGGGAACCCAAGAACCCCCCTCTTCGCGCATATGGGAAAGCCAGGGCCCAGAGAAGTGGCAGAGGGGCCCTGCCTGGGATGCTGCAGACCAGGGACCACCCCCCACCCCCCGCAGGCTCCTCCCTCTGCACCAGCTGCCCGCCAGGGAAGGAAGGACAGAGGTCTGGGGCTCCTGGCGGTGGAGGCCTAGGGAAGGGGCCTATTGGGACCAACTCTGTGCCAAGGAGACGGCCTTTGACCACGGACAGCGTGACAATGCCCTGTCCCCACTCCCCCCTGCATGCCCAGCCCAGCCCAGACCTGAGGGGGCCGCGTGTGCCGCCCAGAGTAACAGCAATGGCTGCCACTCACTGAGCAGTTACTATGGGCCAGGCACCGTGCTAGCACCTGATTCTCCGAGGTTATTTCTAATATTCCCGTTTTATAAGTGCTTAGAGGAAGGTCGGGGAGCTGAATCCACAGGCCTTAGACCACACGGCTAAGGAGTGGTGGGAGAGGGAGAGGAGGGAAAAATGTTGGAGCTAGAAGGATCTCACATCTCTTCCTGGTTTCAGACCCAGGTCTGTCTGTCTCTGTTTCCTTGGGGCTCCCCACCCCAGCCAGCAGGGGCCACTTGGGCAGGTAGTCCACCTACTCCCTCAGAGGTGCTGGTGAGAGAAGGGAGGAGCTGGAGGGCAGACTTGCCCATCCCAGGGAAGCTCAGGCCTGTCCTGTTCTGTAGGTCCACTCTCCCCTCATGCGCCTAAGCATGTGCCTGTCCGCAGGTCACCTGGTGTCAGAGAGAGTGCATGGCTCAGCCAGTGTGGCTCAGTGGTCGAGCAGCGGCCCATGAACCAAGAGGTCACAGGTTCGATTTGGGCTCGATCCCCAGTAGGGGACATACAGGAAGCAGCATCGGGGACCACCCTCACGCCCCACCCCTGGACACTCTCACATCAATGTTTTTAGCCCTCTCCCTTCTTCCCTCTCTAAAATCAATAAAAAACATTTTTAAAAAAAGAGAGACGATGCTTGGGCTTTGGGATCATCAGATCTGGGGTTGAGTCCCTCCTTTGCGTGACCTTAGGCCTCAGTTTCTTTATCTGTAAAATGGGGATGCCTATCTAGCAGGGTTGCTAGAAGGAATGGGAAGAAGCTGTGAAAAGGGCCTTGTGCAGGTGATAAACCCGTGGTACCCACGCTGCCGGGTGTGCCAGCTCCGCGGCCCTCGCCCTCCTGGGCGTGCCCGGGAGCGAGCTTCTCCTCAGAAGGAAAGAGGAGCCGCAGGCACAGAGCCTCCTGGAACGTGGAAGGCTCCTTGGCGCCGAGCCCTGCGTGTGAGCCCTTCTGCAATTAGCTTCCAACTAAAAATACCCCCCTGGCCTGCACACCTACCTCCGGCCTGGCACGGGCCTGGCACTGGGCATGCCTGAGCCACCCCCATCCAGGGGTCGGGCAGGGGTGAGGATCCCCAGCCGGTAAGAGAACCTGCGACACGGGCGGGTGCACAGAGCAGGGCTTTATTGAAAGATACAGAACGGGACCAGGGTCCCTGCCACACAGCCTCCAGCACCCCTCCTGCCTTGGCTCCCCACCACCCCTCCCCAGCGCCGGCTCCCGGACAGCCAGCAACGCACAGGGTCTTACCCAGCCTCATGGCAGATGCCCAGAGGGCCTTCAGAGTTCAGCTCAGGAGGGGAGGGGGGGCACAGACAGTCACAGCATCCGCCCACCTGCGCCCCGACGGCCCACGTCACTTGCAGCTCTGCAGCCGGGTCCTGTGGTGCTTCTCCTGGGTCAGGAGGGGGATGACGGTGTCGCTGTGGGAGATCTTGAGCCGGCTGCCCCAGGCTCCCTCCTTGCCGGCTGCGGCTGCGGGCTCCAGTGGTGGGAGGTTGTCCAGGTCCCCGAGGGAGCCCACGGCCTTGCCCTCGCCTGCGCCAGCGCCACCGGAGTTGAGCTCCATGAGCTCCAGCTCGTGCTTGGCCGCTGTCTCCAGGACGCGCTGCTTGTTGTAGTACCGGACGAAGTTGTTGATGATGGGGTGGATGGGGAGGGCGATGGCGATGACCCCGCACAGGAAGCTGATGGCCGCGTTCAGCTTGCCCAGCGTGGTCTTGGGGTAGATGTCGCCGTAGCCCACGGTCGTCATGGTGATGATGGCCCACCAGAAGGACTGCGGGATGCTCTTGAACAGCGTCTCGGGGTGGCTCTGCTCCATGGTGTAGCCCAGGGCCGAGAAGACGAAGATGCCCACGGCCAGGTACATGAGCAGCAGCCCCAGCTCCTTGAAGCTGCGTTTGAGCGCGTAGGTGAGCGTCTGCAGGCCGGTGGAGTGGCGCGCCAGCTTGAAGATGCGGGCCACGCGCATGATGCGCAGCGCCTGCACGGCCTGCTGCACCTTGGTCAGCTCCATCATGCGCGCGCCCAGGTGCGTGAGCGTCAGGCTCACGTAGAAGGGCAGGATGGCCAGCACGTCCACGATGTTCATGAAGGACAGGACGAAGTGCAGCTTGTTGGGCGAGGCGAACAGGCGCAGCAGGTACTCCAGCGTGAACCAGCCGATGCACGCCGTCTCCACGCTCTCCAGCGTCGGGTGCTCCACGCGGCTGCCCTCGGCGTCCAGCACCTGCAGCTCGGGGATGGTGCCCATGCACATGACCATGGACGAGAGGAGGATGAGCAGGAAGGACAGCACGGCCACGGCGCGCGCGGGGCGCGAGGACTCGGGCTTCTCCAGGAACTTCCAGACGCGCTGCTGGCAGCGGCGCCAGCGCCCCGCGGCCGCGTCCAGGCCCAGGTCGTCCAGGATGAGCTGCACGCGGCGCGCGATCTCCTCCAGCTCCTCGCGCTTCTCGCGCAGGTGGCTCCGGCAGCACTGGTCCAGGAACTTGAGGTCCACCTTCCAGAAGTCCATCTCGCCCTTGAAGCAGATGGGGCAGATGCCCTTCTTCATGTGCACCTCCCCGAAATAGTACACCTCCAGGACGCATTTGAAGGCGTCCGGGTCGCGGTCGAAGTAGAACTCGCGCTTCCCGGGGTCGTAGTCGTCGCACAGGGAGAAGATGCTGTCGTAGCCGCCGGCCAGGCAGGTCAGCAGCTCCGCCAGCCGGGTCTCGGGGTACCGGCTGAGCAGGTCTCCGTACAGCACCTGCCGGACGCCCCCCACGTTCACCACGATCTCCACGTCGTCGCCAACCCGGGAGCCCTGGCTGTCCGGCTCCGGGAGGCTGCGCTCCGCGGTTCCGTCCATTCTCCCGGCTCCGCGCTCCGCCGCCGCCGCCGC